TCTTATAGGCCATTAAGCAAACCTTGAACCCTGCCAAAACCATTAAAGGATACCCCTGACTTTTATTATCATCCTCTATTGGTTTTTTTCCCTTCGACTTCTCCTCGTCCTCAACGCTCATTAAAGTGATAATTTATGTGGGATGGAGGGCAGGATCGTTAATGTGTCCAACTCATCTCAGTTACTATATAAACAGCGACGTTTATCTCTTATTCAAATCTCGTGTTGGGAATTATCAATGGACGCGTGAAATTGACATTGAAATATAATGTAGAGATTGACGGAATAATATTATAATTCGGGGGGGAATAAGGTCGGTTTAATCTCCTTCGTACCGTTAGGAGTTTTCTCGCTGGGTTCACCTTGAACTTGGGGAGTTATTGGTTCATTGACATGGTCCGAAAAAAAAAATATTTGAAGGAATTTGCTCAATCATTTCTATGATTCACCAATTGGGAAACGAAATCTCGAGAAGTGGCGGAGATGATGAGACTAACTTGACCTCACTTTGAAGGCAGATGGATGTTTTGGAGATGGTGCAGAGTTTTTAGGCGCACTCTATTGATTTTGAGTGATCGGTCTTTCGAAAATATTTATTTGCCCCGACTTTCTCTTGGGGAGATGTCTATCGTTGAGGATTAGTGGGGAATGTAGGAGGCAATGATTGCGCGGAGAGAAATATTCAGTAAAAATTACGGAATAATTCACGTAATCCGCAATGGGGAATTGTTTTCCGGAAATTTTTATGGAAATGGAAGAGAAGAAATCTGAAACCTTCAGTGAATTCTCAGGTTCATCACCGAACAAAGTACGAAATTGTCACGTAATTTTTCCCGAAGAAGTTAAATCTTACAGAAACTTGCCGACTTATTGTGCCTTCGAAATAAAAAATTCGTGAACGTTCAACAATTTTTGTGAAGCTGGTGAGTCATTTCTACGTTCCGTTCCGTAAAATTTCTCAATCTTCGGGGAAAAATTACGGAACGACTTGTTGTCCCCACAGCTGCGAGTCACCAGACGGGTGGTTAATTTTTACGGAACAAATGGTGGAATTTTTACGTTTTTTTTCTGGCAATTGTTATTGAATTTTTCTCTTCGTGTAGGCAATGGTATCTTGAGGATATCCAAGTACTTTGGTCATTTTTTCCCCAGTGAAATGCTTTTCTCCTTTTGTAGTCGAACATCAGAGCTTTCAGTTGAGCCCCATTTGACCCTAAGTTTCCGGACATTTTACAATGATTTTATTACTCAAACTTTGCAGGTCTGAATTTGAATCGCGATATTGGACCATTAGCAAGCATTTGAAAAATCTGAAAATAAAATTAGAAATTTTCCTCTGGAGGAAGATTAATGAAATAATTTAAAAAGTGCAACTTTTGAAAATTATGTGCATTTTCTATGAATAATTTATAAACAATTAATTTTCCACGATAAAAATCGTTTGTTCGGAGTCGCAACAAATTTATTCATAATATTCATATTAAATTTCCTTCTGTCAAGTTGGTTAATTTCCCTGCAGTAAATCTGTTCCACTCCTTCGAATATTCTCACGTGGAACATATGGTTTTTCGGCAGAGGTAATGTTTTCCCTCAGTGAATAAAAGCTATTTTTTCACAAACTATTTTTCCTTCATTCTCGTGACAAAATTCAAGAAATAAAATTCAAAAAATTCATTTCTAGCAATGTCTTCAACCAGTTTTCTTCAACCATATATTTCACTTTTTTATATATAATAATAATACGTCTTGATGAACGAGATCGTTAGAAGAGACCATGTCACTTTTTAAGAGTAATAAATCTGAATAAATGTATGTAATAATTATAATTTACCTAAGGAATCGGCCTACGAAAAACCACACGATGTCCCGCGGATTTCCGTATATAATATAAACCTCCCATCACTCATCCCTCCAGTGCCATTGATTGTCCTTGAGCATGGACTGACGGACGGCCATGAACTTGTCCGTACGAAGAGCGATAGCCCCGAGCACTCATTACCCCACGTTACGTTTTTATCCAGTAGCAATTTCAGTTTTATCAAACCAGTAGCGGTGCGGTAGAACGATTCTAGTCTACTTGGCTTTCAGCCGAGTAATCGAGGAATATCTCCTAATCTGAGGGACATGGTTCAATTTTTGTAATAACTTTTTTTGTAGAGCCAATTGAGGGCTACAAAAACGGTGGTAACAAAAATTCTACCATCTCCCTTAGATTCCGAGATATTCGCCAAAAACGGACCAATAGCAAAAATCTACTTGAACCGATTTACCGCTTCGCTGCTGAAGCAACTCCCGCAGCCTCCAGACACAATCGTGTTTACGTTTTCATTCCTCTTTTATCCAGGATAAAGTATCAAACCCCGGAGTATGGGTATGCCACCTGTTGCCTCTACGATGTGTTTTTATCCAGTAGCAATTTCAGCGATATGAAACCAGCAGCGGTGCGATAAAATGATTCATATCTCCTAATCTAAGGGAGATAGCGAATTCTTGGTAATGACCTTTTTTGTAGAGCCAATTGAGAGGTGCAAAAAAGGTCATTATAAAAATTCTGCCATCTCCCTTAGATTCTGAGATATTCGCCAAAAACTGACCAATAGCAAAAATCTACTTGAACCGATTTACCGCTTCGCTGTTGAAGCAACTCCCGAAGCCTCCAGACACAATCGTGTTTACGTTTTCATTCCTCTTTTATCCAGGATAAAGTATCAAACCCCGGAGTATGGGTATGCCACCTGTTGCCCCTACGTTGTGTTTTTATCCAGTAGCAATTTCAGCGATATCAAACCAGTAGCGGTGCGATAAAATGATTCATATCTCCTAATCTAAGAGAGATAGCGAATTCTTGGTAATGACCTTTTTTGTAAAGCCAATTAAGAGGTGCAAAAAAGGTCATGACAAAAATTCTGCCATTTTCCTTAGATTCTGAGATATTCATCGAAAACTGACCAATTGTAGAAATCTACTTAAACCGATTTGCCGCTTTGCTTCGTGTTTACGTTTGCATTCCTCTATTTTTCAGGATAAGGCACAAAACCGCGGGGTATGAGTGCCCTGAATCCTTAACCAGACTGTACCACAAATTTTGCAGAATAAAAAGGGGAGAAGAGGTTTCGCGTGCTCACCGCCTTCTTTCGAACTGCGTGTCTTCAGGTACTTTTTTGCGATTGTGGTCTTCGGGTGTTGGCAATAGTACCATCAAAGCGTGTTGTGGAGTTCTTGGGGCCATAATCGATAGAGGGAATAAACGCACAACTCGTCAAACCGGCCTCAGTCCTACCCGAAAATGCAAGATGACATTTTTTGTTTTGTGGTTGAAGAACTCGTCAACTTGCATTTTGACAAAATGCGCAAAATGGCGATTCTACTAGGGATTCTACTACTCATGACAAAGTCATCGATAATTTCACGGAGAGAAATTCCGCTTTTAAAAAAATTATGTAACGTTTTTTGTCAGCAATCTATTCCGCCATTTTTTACCTGAGATTATTTCCATCCTAAACTTGAATATCTTATATATAATAATGAAATATAAAATATATATACATATATATATTTTTTATATTATTTTTTATCTTTATATGAAAAAAATATATATATAAGTATTAGAAAAATTTATATATTTATTTTTAGAATTAAATCTTCATTTTATTCATCTTCACTTTCAATAACTAATTTAAACGGCAATATTTCTCCCTTTTCATACAGTGGAACATCATGACCTTAACAGTGAATATAATGATAAAGTAAATCAAACAAGATTAAAACTCATAGCCTCAAGTAGCTAAAGTAATTCCAAAAAAATTGAAATTTTGTCAGATTGTAGGTCTTAATGAGGACTAGCTTTGTGCAAAACTTTTGCCCGATAGATCTAATAGTTTTTGTGAAAAAACGATTCGATTGTTTTTCTTTTCAATATCTTCTATCGAAATCAATCAGAACATATACACCCCTTCATACAAAGTTTTCTGAATATTCCCAGTTTTCCGTTTTTTCATAAAAAAAAATTTGTAATCGCTCTACAAAAAAGGTCATTACGAAAATTTGGCTACCTCCCTTATTCGAAGATATATCGCGAACACTCCAACTCGACTAGAATGGTTTTCCATAGAAAACCCCATCATTCAAACCCATAATTTTTATAATAAAAAAAATCTCCACACAAATTCCCGCAAAACAATTGTCAATGAACAATCGACCTGCCAATGAAATCAGCTACACTGTTAACAAAATTTCACTGAAGTTTCCAGGCTTTAGTCTTGAAATATGAAGCAAGTGACGGTTTCATTGAAATGTCAGGGCATTTTACCATTGAAAATTCGTGGTTTTCGTGGAAAATTCATGGAAATTTTAAATTTCAGTTAAATTATTCCATGAAAATTAGGAAAATTGAAGCAAAAATGTCCTCGAATTTTCAATTTTTCACAATTTCAGAGCAATTTCTTATTGAATTATCATGTTTACATTGAAAATTCATGGAAATTTTAAATTTCAGTTAAATTATTCCATGAAAATTAGGAAAATTGAAGCAAAAATGTCCTCGAATTTTCAATTTTTCACAATTTCAGAGCAATTTCTTATTGAATTATCATGTTTACATTGAAAATTCATGGAAATTTCGGAATCCTCATGGTTCTTCCACTGAAAAATCAGTAATTTCCTTGAATTTTCAGGGAAACTTGAAGTTTCATAGACTTTATTCCGTTAAATTGAATTCAGTGTCATTTTCTGGAAAATTCAGTTAACTTATTTTAACAGAGTATCCTCACAAGATGAGCCCGAAGACAATGGAGAATAAATACTCGAAAAGAAGAAGAGCCCAACGGGTGGCACGTGGGAGGGGTGAGCCCGTTATAAGATCGGCGGCCGTCAGGTGGACGGTTTAGTCCGCGAAGAACCAGGAACCCAAGGGCATCGTGAACCCCAAAAAGTACCGTTTTGTTTTCGTTACTGAATATTTCGGGCGCAATTGACATTGTTTCGTGCTCGAAGAGATTGAAATGGTGACAAGAGAGCACCTCCTTTGTCTTCTGTTACTGTTCGGGTGTTCACCCGGGAATTTCGCCGAAGAGGATGATGACACTGTCTCTATTGAAGGTATGCCCATAGTTTCTCTCCTCTCTTTGGTTTCCTCTTCGACATTATTGTGGAGTCCAACTCTTTTTTTACACTCGGCTGTCATCAATTGTGTATTCAACACACGGAATTCTAGCGCGTACGGGTTTAACGTTCGCAATAACAACGACATTCTTCGGAAATCCCTGGCAATGATTTGTTGCTGATTTGAATCCACGGCTGTTCAACTATGCGACATTTAAATTACTAAAACGTGAATTAGTGTACCACAGACGAATGATATTGTTAAAAAATAATAGAAACAATTTCAATTATCTATTTATAAACAACGAATGTTTAAATAAATCATAATTCTGCGCAAAATGTAATTCTGAGTGGAATTACATTGTCTATTGAAAAGTAAACAAAAAACAAAATAGAAATTGAAAAATCTCGGTTTATCACTGAAAATGCAGTAATTTTAATGAAATTAGTCGATGTCTCAGTGACTTCTCAGCGCAACAATGAGAATCCATTAAATGATTTTTTTCAAGACTCATTCGAGACCCAGATTTTGTCGCGGGGTTTTGACACGCGTCGGGCCCGTTAGAAGCTTTTAAAATTCTTGACGATTCAAATTGGACTTTATGAGGAGTTATTAAAGAGATTGGCCCTTACTCATGTCATCAACGCATGCCTTCACACTTTTAGAATACCAAATTTTATTGCACTTGAGTGTTATTGGAAAGCCGTGGTTTCTCCAAGAATGTTGTTACAGAAACAATAACTTCTTCTCACATTTGTGGACGGCCGTTGGCATTGGAAGTATTTTATGGCACTGGAAATTTGTGAATGTCGGTGTCAAGACGATTCAATTAGCAAAAAATAAGTATTGTAATAATCTTGAAGTACTAAAATGAATTCAGTAGCGAAGTGGCAAACCGGTTCAAGTCGACTTATCTCCCAGCTGAGTTTTTGAGGAATATTTCTGAATCTAACGGAGATGGCGGAATTTTTGTAATTACATTTGTTATAGCTCTCAATCGGCTCTACAAAAAAGGTTATAACAAAAATTTTGCCATCTCGTATCGATTCCAAGATATTTATTGAAAACTGGTCAATAGTCAAAATTGACTTATACCGTTTTACCACTTCGCTACTGGATTGGAAGGTCAGTTTATCATAAAATAAAGAGAAGTTAAAATATCATAACAGTCTTCTGAGCCTAATATTCGTACAGTCGAGACGACCAAACTATAATCTTACGAATTACAACACAATTAGTTCCATTCCATTTTCATTCACACGAGGGAAACAGTCATTTACTTCATTCTGCAACAGTATTAATTCTTCAAAAAAAAATTTGGGGTCAACTTTTCATTGAATTCTCCAGCTGCAGAGCTTCCATTACAAGAGCGCACATTATCAGCTCGTAACATAGATTGGATGCAGAAAACCTCACCCGGGGGGGTGTGTCTGACGTCAAAAGGTGAAGTTGGTCAGTGCACAACGTTCAGGGATTGTTATCCCTACTTCAAAATCCCGAATCTGGGATCACTGGATGGATGGGTACTGGGGGTCTACGATACATGTAGTTACACGCGTGAGGATGGACGCATGGGCTTTGGTGTTTGCTGTTCGGGGGTTCCCCTGACCTCGCCGAAGCCTGCTGGACAGGATGGACCAATTGTGGAAGATCCACAGGTTGGTTGCGAAAATTTAATGACAATCCTGGTGTACTAGACTCAATTGTGATGACCAATTTGTTTGTGAGGCCCGGCCGTACGGCAGTGTGTATTAATATATTGTGTTACTAGTGCGTAAAGATCCGCTGTTTCGCGCGCACGTGTAACAAATCTCATTTTTCATCACGCTGTGACGAAAAGTGAACTTTTCGGCGCGCTCCGCGTGCCTAAAAGTCCAATTTCCGCCACATTGTGATGAAAAATATTGTTCGTAACTCGTGAAAAAATGTTTTTTACCTCGTGGGATTATATCACTCGCCTCGGCTCGTGATATAAACCTCGAACTCGGCAAAAAACACTTTTTTGCACTCGTTACGAAATATACTATTTTGTGATACCTGCAGAGTTCACTGTTCGGAACGGGGGTAAAGTGGTTGGTTTTGTGCACGAGTGCGTAAAGTTCACGAGTGTGCGTAAAATGAATGCTCATGCGTGCGGAAAACAACCGCTATATGCACACTAAACCGTTTTGAAAAGTTCACTTTTTAGACTGGTATAATAAAAATACTATTTTTATCCGTTGGAGGTGTGTAGCTCTCGTCGAAGGCGAATGATACCCTCCCGAGGGTCGAAGAACATTTTTTCCTCGAGTATCGAACCCTAATTTTCATCGTAATGTGTGGAAAGTGGGATTTTTTAAAATTTCATTTTACGCACGGGTGATGGAATAGTATATTTCGATATGAGTGCGGAAAAGTGTTTCTGGGCTCGTGGGAGGTTTATAGCACGAGCCGAAGGCGACTTTTCCCATGAGTATCGAACAATATTTTTCATCACAATATGTGGGAAAGAGACGCTTCGCGTGCCTAAAAAGTTACTTTTTCGCACAGCGTGATGGAAAAGTGTTTTTTGACTCATCGGAGATGTGTTGCGCTACTCTTCCAAGAATCAAAGACCACTTTTTCCACGAGTGTTAAATCCCATTTTTCATCACAATGTATGGAAAAGGGACGCTTCGCGTGCCTAAAAAGTTACTTTTTCGCACAGCGTGATGGAAGTGTTTTTTGACTCGTCGGAGGTGTGTTGCGCTACTCTTCCAAGAATCAAAGACCACTTTTTCCACGAGTGTTAAATCCCATTTTTCATGACAATGTGTGGAAAATGGCATGTTGCACGCTGGGCGTGCGTAAAATTTCACTTTACGCCCAAGTGATGAAATAGTATATCGTCAACCAAGACTTCGCCTCGGGCGGTAATCCAGACGCGGGTTAGAATGTCCTGTTGTCTTCCCTCGGTACACACGGTATGTTCCATCGTAGTAGAAATCCGAGGAATGAAATAAGCGACTCTCCTCCCGTGACTTGGGGAAAGAAAATCGAACTCCGTGCAGACATGGCGGAGAATGTGTTATAACCCCTGCCGGAATATTGTTCTCAGGCCCCACCGGGGCTTCACCCCGGACCAACCCCGGCTCCCCATTAATAGTCATTCATATTTTCAGGATGTTGAAGACAGTAACAACAAAAAAGACTCTCCAATAACTTGGCCACCAGCCCTTCCAACCCATCCCCCGCATCACACAATTCCCCCTCTCCCCACCCACCCGCCATTCGCAAGCCCAGGAGGAGTCACATCGCGTCCGCCAATCGTGACGACCACCAGGAGACCAACGGCCACGACCTGGCCGACGAAAAAACCCGCCTGGTGGCCGGGGGCAGCGACCCCGAAGCCCCTCGTCACCACAACTTCTATGAGCCTCAGTTCATCCGAATGTGGAGCGAAAAATGGAAAGCAGGATCAGGATAGAATTGTCGGTGGACAAAATGCCGACCCCGGCGAGTGGCCTTGGATAGCTGCTCTGTTCAATGCTGGAAGACAGGTCTGCGGAGGATCTCTGATTGATGATAAGCATATTCTAACGGCCGCTCATTGTGTTGCTCAGTAAGTTGTACTGCGGTTTTTGTTGAAGAGTTGTTTGGCGAGTGGATTAGTGGATTTGATGAAAATCTGACAGAGTCGGCTTGTGCGGACCGTCGGTCGATCGTCGGACGATCGTTGGGTAGTTGCGAGTCCATCGATGGTCTATTGTTGATCGATTATCGGTCGCCCCCGTTAGTTGATCCATGTTGATGTGAATCGGTAGATGGTCGAGGCTTGATTGCAAGTCGGTCGTTAGTCGATCGATTACTGGTCGACTACTGGTTGATCGTTGGTCGGTTACAAGTCAATCACTGGTTGGTGGTTGTGAATCCATCGATGGTCAATCATTGGTCGATCCGCGGTTGCTCTGGTCGATTGCTAATCGGTCGCTAGTCGATCCCTCAAGGTCATACATAGAATTCCATGAAATTTTCACTGAATCTAGACCTCTTTTTCAAGAGTAAATAGACTCGATTATTAATCGGCCATTAGTTGATCGATGCTTGATTGTAGGTCGGTGGTTGGTCGATTACCGGTCGATCGTCGGTTGATTACTGGTCGATCGTTGGTTGGTGGTTGTGAATCTATCGATGGTCGATCGATGGTCGATTGTCGGTCGATCCGCGGCTACTCTGGTTCATTGCTAATCGGTCGCTAGTCGATCCGTCAAGGTCGTACATAGAATTCCATGAAATTTTCACTGAATGCAGACCTCTTTTTCAAGTGGAAATAGACTCGATTATTAATCGGCTATTAGTTGATCGATGCTTGATTGCAGGTCGGTCGTTGGTCGGTTGCTGGTAGATCGTTGGTCGATTACCGGTCGATCGTCTGTTGATTACTGGTCGATCGTTGATTGATGGTTGTGAATCCATCGATGGTCAATTGTTGGTCTATTGTCGGTCGATCGACGGTCCACTCCTAATCAGTCGTTAGTCGATCCCTCAAGGTCACACATAGAAATCCATCAATTTTTCACTGAATGCAAACCTTGATTGCGCTATTCATCAAGTATAATTCAGATAATCAACCACTGAGTGGTATTCAACATCGACAGTCCATCAATTTGCATTAATTTTTAGTCATCACTTTCTTTCTCCATTTCAGTATGAATTCCTGGGACGTTGCGCGACTCACCGTTCGTCTCGGTGACTACAACATTAAGACTAATTCGGAAATTGAACACATTGAGAGACGAGTGAAGAGAGTCGTTAGGCACAAAGGGTTTGACCCTAGAACTCTTTACAATGACGTGGCGATACTGACGCTCAATGAACCCATTGAGTTCTCAGAGATGATTCGACCTATTTGCCTTCCTGGTGGCTCTCAACTTTATGTAGGCAAGACTGCAACGGTCATTGGATGGGGGTCACTCAGAGAAAGTGAGTGGATTCATTGACTTATAATTGAATAACGGTGATGGTTATTATGATTTTAATTCTTTAGGTGGCCCTCAGCCAGCTGTTCTGCAGGAAGTCGCCATTCCAGTCTGGCCTAATAGTGAATGCAAACAGAAGTATGGAGCTGCTGCTCCTGGGGGTATCGTTGACAGCTTCCTTTGCGCTGGGAGGGCAGCTAAGGATTCTTGTTCTGTACGAGAAAATTGCAATTTTCTTCGTTCAATTCAATTCATTATTTTTTTAATTAATTTCGTCATTTCATTTAATTGTTCAGTTATATCGAAAATAACCACTTAATTTATGTAAAACGTAATTATCTCGTGAACGAATGGTTTTAGGACAAAATATCAAAGGACAATTTTTGTAGAGAATCAAATTTCCAATAAAAATGTCTTATGATATTTTTTTCTGAAACCATCGGCTACTGGGATAATTCAATCTCTACGATAATTTTCTGTTCAAGAAAACGAAATATCAGATCATCAATTCTTGAAGAGAGTTATTCAATAAATTTCATTATTAAATTGTTTTTTCGTTATTAGGGAGATTCGGGAGGCCCATTAATGGTCAATGATGGCAGATGGACACAAGTAGGAATCGTCAGTTGGGGAATTGGATGTGGTAAAGGACAGTACCCAGGTGTCTACACGAGAGTCACACACTTCCTCCCCTGGATTTACAAAAACCTCAAATAATTTGTAATTTAAACTTTTACTATCCATCTCTCATCATCTCATAGTGATGTCACTCCCATCGAAGGTAATGATCGAGGCTTCAGATGATGAAAAACTCGACTGTTACTCATTTTTAAATAAAAATCACATTCATTAAATCCATTCTGCAAATTCTTTTATATCACAAAAATACATTGCCTCAGCAGATGTTTAAAAAAATATGAATTATTACAGAGATTGTGGGAAAATTGTACAAAATGCTGGTGACGATTTCAGCTACACTAATTGTATATTACAAATACATAAATATTTACACTAATTCACATTTTTTTCAATTGAATAATCTACAAGACTTCGAGGAGAATTAATTCTCACAGTTACTGACGTTGAGATGCTGAAGAATATTTCGAGCTGAAATGGTAAAAGAACATTTTTACTTTAAAAAAATTGAAGGAACCTGAAAATTAAAAAATTAAAGTGAACGTCAGGATGAGCTTTGTGCCAATATCTTCGAATTCAGAGGAGATAAAATATTATTTTAATGATTCTTGAAAATATTTGTGATCAATTGATATTTCAGTCATCAAATTTAAAAAATTGATTTCATTATTTTTCATTTTTATGTGCATTAAATTTTTTGAATAGCTTAGTAAAGTAGGAAATAATCAACCCGCAATAACTACTTCACCACTATTTCATCATGATTAATTAACAAAATAACAAAACAAAGAATAATTAAATTAAGAAATAGTTGAATGCAGTCGAACTCCCTAATTTCTGGATGACGGCCATACTTTTACTTTTATTAAATGTCGATCAATAGAAAAAATAATTAATCACATGATTATGCTCGAGTAATATTATCGAAAGATGAAATAATCTGTGCAATTTTTATTTCATTATTTATGAAATATTCAATGGAAGTTGAAATCATCCAGAAACTAACCCCCGTCCAGAGATGGACCTGTCTACCCTACCCCCCTCTGAATTATCATCAAGAATAAAAAGACGATAAACAAATAATAACAAAATAATACGATGAACAAGCTAAAATACCTTGAAAATAGCAAGTATCATAATTATCATCAGGCTGAGGTATAAAGGGTGGAGTGGCCTTGCCAGGTTGATCCCAGGGGAAGGAGCTGAAGAAGCCCATCCCCCTGACCTCCTTAGCCGAGGGTCTGAGATTATGATCAAGGGTCAAGAGAGCATCGATGGCCTTGACGCACTCCTCAGAGAGTACTTCCTCCTCCTCGGGCCAGGGTACGTCCCTGGCGAGAATATTGGCGAAGACAGCTTGAGGTGTCTCGTCGTTGAAGGGAGGAAGTCCAGTGCAGAACTCGTAGAGGCATACCCCAAGGGCCCACCAGTCGACAGCTGGTCCATGTCCCTCCTTCAGCAGCAGCTCTGGGGCCAGGTAATCAGGTGTCCCTAGGATCCTATCGTCTGATCTGTTGAGGGTTCCTGGCACCCCTCTCCTCACGCTCTTGGGGGTTCTGAAGGGCGTGAAGCTGTTGCCAGATGTTGCTGGGGTTTTTATGGGGGAGATTCCCTGGGGGGACGTGTGCTCGTCGGTTCCAGAGTCCTGGTGGCGGTCTGGGGGGTTCGATGTGACTGCTGGGGGTGGCAGGTCAAATCTCGTGCTCTTGATGGGGACTTTACCCTCGTTTTGCTTGCCGTCCTCTCGGTTTCGGCTTTTTAGGGATGAGACTGGGGTACTGAACGCCACTCTTCCACCTGATCCTGCTTCCTGGCTCTTCCGATCCTCTGGGGGCTCCTCTTTGGGCACTGAGGGACTTGTTGTTGCGATGATTGTGCCTCTGGAGGATGATTATATTGCGAAGAATGGGCACATTTAATAAATACATAATTGTTTATTAACGATTTTGGGATGGAATTGATATGAAGAGATGTGAAGAGAAATTACACTTCCGTGGAGTAGGAAGCAAGGTAAAAGAATAACGAGAAAGAAAGAGACGATCGTACACGAAGGGGGTTCAGAGGGAGATAAAGGGCAAACACTGTTGGAAATAAATGAAATTTCATGGACAGTTGGGTACTAATTTTCAGGACAGTAACACTGAATGCGATTTAGTTTCACTGAAAATTAAATCCCGAAATTTTAAGCAGCATAAAGACGAGAATTCCTTGATTAATTTGAATTTTCAATCTAATATGCATATTCAGTACCAAATTACATTAAATTTTCAGTGAAATCTGAAATTTCATGATTTTTTAACCCCTAAATCGCATTCAGCGTCACTGTCTTGAAAATGCAAGAATATATTTACCGGAATTTCCTGGTTTTCTATTCATTTTCAGGGAAAAATGGAACTGAAATGATTCTTTTTAATTTTTCCACGAAATTCTGAATTTTCAATGACGAAATTCCTTGAAATTTTAGTGGTAATTAAATTCTGCCAAAATTTCCAAAAAGTGTACCGCAAATGTCAGCCAAAAATTTTCAACAGTGAATACGCAACAATATTTTACTATTTGATTGAGAGGTTCGAAAGGGCACAGTGGTTCAGGAGAATTATTTTTTAGAGAGGCGATGAAATGGTTTAATTCACGAGGAATTATCTGAATGACGGTTGACTTCACGAGAAAATGTCGACAAACATTTTCGTTGGAAAAAGAGTCCTCTGCAAAAAAGGTTTTCCAATATTTTATGAAACTCATCAACTCATTCAACTCATTCTCATTAACTCATTCTCATTAACTCATTATCTAAACTCATTAGTTTTCGCAATAAATCCTCTTTCCATCAGATGTTTTCGTGCGTGATAATGAGCAATCGCCAAACCTGTTCTTCCTCTTCGGTGTGGTATGCCCCTCCAGATCCATGAGAGAAATCTCCATCGTGAGTCCAGTGCTCCCAGATATGGCGGTTCGTTTCCGCTTGGTCCCCCTCGGAAAGGAGTTCTTGCCAGTGCTGAGAGGGCTGGGATGCTGCACAGGTTGATTAGAATTATCAGCTTCGATTGTCGACTCGTCCTCCTCATCCCCCTTATCGTCCAATTCACTGATCTGCTTAATGGACGATGCCTCACAGGTGTGATAGCTAGCAGTGCTGTTTCCCTCTCCATCGAACGCCTCGGTATCCTCATCCTCCGGTAACTCCTCGGCGTCAGACAGGTGGAGATCCTCGGCCGACTGGAAGGGAGTGACTCCAGACAATTTCGAATAATCTCCAGATGCTGTTGATGAAGCTAGGGAGATTGAGGAGAGGCAGCGCGCCTTGCGCTCCTGGAGGGCTGGCAATAAATTAATCGCTGGGACACTATCGTCACTCGTGTCCAGGTTGGAGTCCAGGGATTTCCCACCGGAGCCAAAGGACAGGTGAGATGTCAGAGAGAGCAGTTGCCCGGGGGTTCGTGCGAGCAGGCTGGGGGTGCAGTTGACTAGGTCCGAGATCTCGAGGTCTCGGTGGAGGGTTGAGATTTTACTGAGGCCGAAGTCCGTCAGCTTGACGTGACCCTCACGAGACAACAGCATGTTGTCGGGCTTCAGGTCTCGGTGGACTATTCCGTGGGAGTGGAGGTACTCCAGGGCTAGGCAGACCTCTGCGGTGTAGAAGAGCGCCATCGACTCCTCCATGTATCTGGGGGGATTATCATTTTATGATGGATTTTTAGTTTTTTGGGAGCGGAGTGAACCGCGAAGGACAATCCCAGGGAAATGGCTCGTTTGAGGAGCTCGTGATGTACTTTTTATTGGACTTTATTTTTTCACTCTTATTTGCGGTTTTATTCACGTCAAATTAGTATTTTTGAAAACGTGGAAGTAGTGTTTAGATGTCGAAGAGAACGAATCTGTTAAGGATGTTTATCCAAAATCGCAAGGATTCAAAAACAATTGATTTCTTTTCAACTGAGAGGGGAAGTTATTCCCTTTATCTTGATAAAAATTTCAATCCACCAAGCTATGGTTATTATTTAGAGATGGAGTGGACAAAATGCACCAAACACATGCGGTAACATGCGCTTGTATGGGGTAGAATCTTTCAAATATTTCCTCCTTTTGCACGGGTACCCGAATTTTTTCTCTGGCCATTCGATTCAGTATCGTTTTGCACATTACCTTCTTTTGCACATTTACTTTTATATTTGAAGTGACCAGTGGAGAGTAATCTTAGAGAAGTGATTGAATTCAATCGAATAAATAGTTTTTTGAAAATACGAAAAACCGTTTCTTTTTTTTTTTAAATGAATTTAATATTAAAATAACGAAGAGAACGAAGTTATTAACACGTAATAATCCGTCAATTGGCTCAAATAAATGGTTCACTTAATTCTGATAGATTTCAGTAGCGAAGTGGTAAAAGGAGATAAGTCAATTTTAACTATTGACCAGTTTTCAATCAATATTTCGGAATCTAAGGGAGATAGCAAAATTTTGGTTATAACCTTTTTTGTGGAGCTGATTGAGTGCTACAACAAATGTAATTACGAAAATTTCGCTATCTCCCTTAGATTCGCAAATATTCCTCAAAAACTCAACTGGGAGATAAGGCGACTTACCTCCATTTGCCACTTCACTACTGATTTGAAAATGAATGAATTTCACATGCAATTGAAATATAACGATTGCATTATCATTGCACCTCACCATGAGATTGCATTCCCAGACTCCCCAAACACACCAAAGATCCAAGGATCAAGGATTTGTCTCGAGGAGTGTAAATTGTAGAGGAATGCATTCGGAGCTGAATTTCGAAAAATTGACTTTTTGAAAATCGTCAGTTGAATTTTTAAAATTCGACCTCAACGAATTGAGTTTTTTGTGATTGATTGTGATTGCATTCCCAGACTCCCCAAAAAAATCTCCCATTACGTACCCAAAATAGCCGAGTAGAGATTTCAAGTCCCCTCCAACCATGTACTCCATCACCAGATAGACAGAGCTGACCGACTGCAGCGAGTAAAACAATTGCACACAATAAGGGCTCCTGGTGAGGGCCAGAGCATTCCTCTCAATGACGACCTGCGAGGCCATGTTCTTGTGAATCATCTCGTTCTTCTTCATGACTTTGATGGCATAGACCTGCTCGGGGTTGGTCTTCTTGTACCCCAGGAAGACCTTTCCAAAGGCACCTCGACTTATGGGCTTGACTATCTTGAAGTCATCGATGTCTGGGACCTTCGTCGAGGGGTTCACCAGCTTGGAGATGGTGTTGAAGATGGAGTTGTTGATGGGCCTGTTCTCGGACACTGGGGTGCGCATGGAGTAGTTGGAGGAGTCATTGCTGGATTCAGTGAGGCCTGAGCCACTCGTCAGGGCTGAGGACGTACCATTCGCTATTCCACTGTCTGCTCCTGAGGACGATAGGTCTACCTGGTCCATCTGAACTCCAGTGATGATTGACGATGATGACTGATGATTTTCCATTATTCTTACCACAATTAGAGCACTTTTTGCACGATTACTCAATTTATTTCCTCGGGTTTGCTATCGCTCCGAGGGGATTTTCCCATCACTTTTCACTTGTTTGCACATCTCTTGGGTGAGGTAGGGGTGATGGCGGGGTTTATTGATATTTATGGGCCTGTGGAGACGTGTTAGAACGTGTTTGCAACAGGCAGTGCATCGGACTGGCGGGAAGAGCAACAGTTAGAACAGCTGTTGCGGCATCCCCACAAGTGCACATGGGGATCACGTGGGGGGAGGTTTAAAAGGATCTCGACTTTTAAAACTCGACGAGTTTAAATTGTAGAGGAATGCATGCGGACGTAAATTTCGAAAAATTGCCTTTTTGAAAATCGTCAGTTGAATTTTTAAAATTCGACCTTAACGAATTGAGATTTTTGTGATTTTTGCCTCATTTTGGAGGGGAAAAAACAGATCCGATCAATTAGCCCCTCATGTATAGATATTCAAAATTTTTATTTTTTTCCTCATTGAAGTAGTTTTGAAGAAAATTGCGAGCTAATAAAAAACATTTGCTAGTTAGTACTTTTTTTAAAATAAATTTTTGAAAAATCACCTCTGAAAAAAA